ATAATCCATCCACCTCACTGGTGTGGCATATCAAGATGCTGATTAGATAGCATGATTATTGCACAGGTGTGCCTTAGGCTGGCCACAATAAAATGCTACTCTAAAATGTGCAGTTTTACTGTATTTGGGGGGTCCGGGGGGGTTCGAAAACCAGTCAGTATCTGGTGTGACCACTATTTGCCTCACGCAGTGCAACACTTCTCCTTCGCATAGAGTTGATCAGGTTGTTGATTGTGGCCTGTGGGATGTTGGTCCACTCCTCTTCAATGGCTGTGCGAAGTTGCTGGATATTGGCAGGAACTGGAACACGCTGTCGTATACGCCGATCCAGAGCATCCCAAACATGCTCAATGGGTGACATGTCCGATGAGTATGCTGGCCATGCAAGAACTGGGATGTTTTCAGCTTCCAGGAACTGTGTACTGATCCTTGCAACATGGGGCCGTGCATTATCATGCTGCAACATGAGTTGATGGTCGTGGATGAATGGCACAACAATGGGCCTCAGGATCTCGTCACGGTATCTCTGTGCATTCAAAATGCCATCAATAAAATGCACCTGTGTTTGTTGTCCATGACATACGCCTGCCCATACCATAACCCCACTGCCACCATGGGCCACTCGATCCACAACGTTGACATGAGCAAACTGCTCACCCACACGACGCCATACACGAATGTCCAAATACATTTGCCCACTCAAGTCGGTTACGACGACAAACTACAGTCAGGTAGAGACCCCGATGAGGACGACAAGCATGCAGATGAGCTTCCCTGAGACGGTTTCTGACAGTTTGTGCAGAAATTCTTTGGTTATGCAAACCGATTGTTGCAGCAGCTGTCCGGGTGGCTGGTCTCAGACGATCTTGGAGGTGAAGATGCTGGATGTGGAGGGCCTGGGCTGGTGTGGTTACACGTGGTCTGCGGTTGTGAGGCCGGTTGGATGTACTGCCAAATTCTCTGAAACGCCTTTGGAGATGACTTATGGTAGAGAAATGAACATTCAATTCACGGGCAACAGCTCTGGTGGACATTCCTGCAGTCAGCATGCCAATTGCACGCTCCCTCAAAACTTGCGACATCTGTGGCATTGTGCTGTGTGATAAAACTGCACATTTTAGAGTGGTCTTTTATTGTGGCCAGCCTAAGGCACACCTGTGCAATAATCATGCTGTCTAATCAGCATCTTGATATGCCACACCTGTGAGGTGGATGGATTATCTCGGCATAGGAGAAGTGCTCACTAACACAGATTTAGACAGATTTGTGAACAATATTTGAGAGAAATAGGCCATGTGTGTTCATAGAAAAAGACTTAGATCTTTGAGTTCAGCTCATGAAAAATGGGGGCAAAAACAAAAGTGTTGCGTTTATAATTTTGTTCAGTGTACTTAATTAATAAGGGGGGGGAGTAGATCAAGAATCATTCTGGAATCGGATCGGATCGTGAGGTGACTAAGATTCTCACCCCTACTAGGAATGCCCTAGCAACTCTCAAGAACACACTAGCAATCATAACACAATGCCAAAAAACACTCCATGTTTTTAGGACCATTTAGCAACCACATAGCAATTGCCCAGGCAACCACCCAAAGCACCCTAATATCGTGGTAGGGAATTTTTCAATACAAAGAAATTTAGATCTAAAAATGTATATATTATATAAATATAATAATATATGCGCTATATAAATTTTTTGACATTAAATGCTAACTTCAGTGGCATTTTCACTTCCATAGTAACACTCAAACTCTCTTTTTGCAGATCTCAGTGTCAAGAATTTCATCTGCCCCTGCGTCTACTGAACAGGTATCTCCAAGGACTCCCGTTCCCATTCCACTGACACCCCCTAGCGTTCGACCCGGTCGCACAGGTGCTCGCACTCTAGCTGACATCAAGGCAAAAGCACAGTTAGCACGTGCACAGCGTGCTGCAGCAGCAGCAGCCAGGTCATCTTCCTCAATGGGAACCGGCTCAGTTGGAGTTACCTCGACACCCTCTCCAGCTCGGTCCCTGTCTGAAGATTTTTCACCAGCAAGCAGCAGAAGTCAATCTGTGTCGCCAATAAAGTTAAACTCTGGATCTCCAGCTCCTGAAGGCACAGTGACTCTCTTACAAACCTCTCCTTCCTCAGGTTCCACTGGACACTCAGACCCTGGTCTTGCACAAGCCTTCAGTGCAAGCCAGGGATTTTTAAAAGAGAATTGCTCTTCGATGGGGTTGCAAACCACTCTGTGTACGTTGAACCCAACAGGCAAGGATCAGCATAACCTCCTCAGTCCTGGGGGAATGCTAGCACCTTCAAGTCAGGCAGGAAATGTGACTGCCTTGAATACAATAGCACAAAACCAGAGACCAGAGCAGACGCCTTTTTCAGGAGCGTCAGTGACCAAGCCTAGCTCTTCAATCCCAGCAAATAATCCTCTGGTCACCCAGCTTCTTCAAGGTAAAGAGGTCCCCTTAGAAAATATCCTCCCAAAGCCACTAGCCAAGGTGGAGGTTCAATCTGTGGCCATTTCTGCCAGAGATAAAGGGACTCTTGGTACCACCACTGCTGGGTTGAAAACGAACCAAGAGGATGCCAACAAACTTGGGAACCAAGTTCCTTTTGGCCCATCAATGATGCAAGCCAGAAGTGTGGACAAGTTGGTCAAAGTTGACACTCAGGACCAGATGCTCCAACCGCTAAGGGACAAATGCGAGCAGAAGAACACCATCTCCAACTGTCAACCCTCCCAATTTCAGTCCTGTCAGTTAGGTCACCTAGAGGGTAGCCATGACCAGAGTGTCCATCTCGGCATCTTTGGACGGAAAAGGTTATCCAAGCCAGCTATGACAGGACACTACCTCCTCAATGTCTCCACATATGGTAGAGCATCCGAGAGCAGCAAACGGCCCCACCTAACTAATAATACGAGCATTGCCCTCGCCAACCTGAAGAAGGAGAAAATCGAAGCAGAGGAGAGTGTGAAAGGGAAGACGGAGTCATTTGCAGGGTCTCATACCACCTCTCAAGGACACCTGAATTTTCCAAGGGTAAAAGTGGAACAGCAGGGATGTGTCATAAATAAAGCAGATGATGGTTTGACACCCCAACTCTGCTCTGATATAAAGTCTGAATCTCCATCTCTGAGTTGTTTGTCCAGCAAAGACGAAGGCAACACTTCTCTTAGAACCAAAGAAACATGCTCAAGAGCGCAGCTTGATATGTGCAGCAGTATACAGGGTAAAACAGAGCCATATCAGTTAGGTGACTGTCACCAACGCACGTTCTTGTCTCAGAAAGCACATAATGGACCTCAGTATGGTGGCACTATCAGCATGTCTGTCCCTCATGCACTGAACCACAGCATGGCTGACACTCCAACTTCTCCCACTGTGTCCTGCAGTGGTGATGGTGAAACGGCTGCTGGAGGAATGATGTCTTTTTCCGTCACTGTCACTGCCATACCTGCCGGTCACCTACTGGATCAGAACAGTCAGGGTGAAACCTCACCTGAGCAAGCCTTCATAGAAACCTCTGCAATGGAAGACGTCCAATCAAAGTGCTACTGTCGGCTAAAGGCCATGATTATGTGCAAGGGATGTGGTGCATTCTGCCATGATGATTGCATTGGTCCATCCAAACTATGTGTCTCGTGTTTGGTGGTACGATAATGGTCATGAGGATGAACTGCAACTTGTTCATTCATTCATTCAAAGAGAAGCAATCACTGCAGTGAGGGTAACAGAAATGTTACGACAGTACAGCAGTGACTCTCTCGCTGTGGTAACCTGTTCATGTATCCGTTGTCATTTGAGAGAGGCAAGCTGTTGTGCTGAATGGGGGAAACTCACAAAGAATGAATTGTGCCTGCTAATAGTGCTGCTTATTTGCACGTACTTTCTGCTTTGTTTTAGCGGCTGATTCAGGAGTTATGCTAATCAGGTAACATGACCAGCAAGCCTGTGTTATTCTTGCAAGTCAGTTTTGAGTACTTAGTTGTGGCGAATGCAGCAGACTACCGTGATCTGGCATGCTTTACTGGGACTGTTTAGTATGGCTGCAGTAATGCAATCCAGACACCTGAATCGGCTCTTTAAAGTGCCGAAAGTGCGCTCGACTACACCGTATGTCTGGATATGTACACATGCTTTTCATTTGCAGTTTGAGCGCTTTAAGCACCTGGTTAAACTGGATTGCCGGTGCTTAGTAGAGACACCGCAGGTTTTTGCGCTGAAATGCAGAGTGCAAAAGTGGCACAACTGTTTAATGATTTCGCCCCTTTGTTTTTCTTTACAATACAAACATAAATAGCATGCTAGAAGATGAGGTATAAAAAAATGTGCAATGCTGAGTAATACTTCCTCTCATTCATTGAGCACCTTGTTTTAGCCTCAAGACTCGATATTGAATAGTGGCAATATTTAAGGCTTGTTCTATTTCTGTTATATTTTTGTAATAGAATTTTAGAAATGCAAATGAATATACTACTATTTTTATAGATGTTAAAAATCATGATTCCTTCCAACCCTCAAATTTCGTATCTTTTACACATAATTCACACTAGTTTGCTGGATTATAAACCGATAACATCAATATTTAGTCTTTGCATATCCGGTAAAGCTATTTGTTGGTTGGTTTAAGCCTTTGTGACACAAGCAAAAGAACCACACAACTGAAATACCAATTATTTTGCAGAATTACTGTGAATATGTAAACCTAATATATTAACCTGCCTTGATACTAGGTTTATATGGTACCGTTCAAAGTTATTTATGAGATAGAAGGGAGTTTTGTCAAATATGTTAACAGGCTAGCACTTCTCTTAGATCAGTGGGTTTTACTTGAGAGAAGAATGTAAGAACAGGTTTATACTGATAATGGCAATAATTTGTATATTTACAATATTTATAAAATTGAGAGCATTAGTCCCTTACATCTCATTTTCTTCAGAAAAAAGGATTTATTAGGGTTGCACTTTTTTATGTTCAGAAAATGACTTCGCTAACGATCTATATCTTTAAAAAAAAAAATGATGATTTGCAAGGATGAAAGAATTCTTAAACAATCTGTTGTACCCTCTCAGGAGCAAAAGCAGGTCTTAATCATTTCAATAGCCTGTGTCTAACCAGTTTACGTCACACAAGTGACATTGCCTCTAATTGGAATAGCAGATACTCTCTGTAACCTTAGTTGTTAGGAATAGGAAAATAATGCAGAGTATCAACAGCAAAACTATATGAGCAATGAAGTTAAACACTCAGAAGGGAGATTTTTATGAAGATTTTTTTCTGTTTTGTTTAGTATTGTAAATACTGACTTTCTTTTAGATGTACAAATAGTTCTACAAAGCATTCTTGTATCTTGCCTAAACATATATCCGATTGTCTGATAACTAAAGGTTTTTATTTATGAAATACTGTCCAACACATCATAATTTTAATCATGTTTCAACATTCAATGTCGTGGTTTAATTTCTGTCCTAAAACAAATCTGCTAAACAGATACATTTTGATACCCATAGTTCTATGTATGTTAGAAAAAAAAAGTTGATGCATCTTTGAATTAGTCTTTTTTTCTTTTCTTTTCTTTTTTATTATCTGCCTTACAGGCAATAGAAATGTAAACGAATTTTAGATCAAATTTGCTTGGTAATATACCAAAGTCGATTTATGGGGACTAGATAATCAGATTTTGTTTTTAATGTCTGTCTAGTTCAGCAAAGTAATATATTTTAAGTAATATATTTTATTAAAAAGAAGTCTATTTACAAATCATTTTACAAAACATTTAAGAAACAGGGTATTTACTATATCTTTATATTGGCTGTCCCATTTTTGGTATACCTTTGTTTAAGAAGTACATAAACTTTTTACACACTTTTTTTTTTTTGTACCAGGACCCTTGTGATAGTATGATCTGTTGATATTTTTGTACGTCTAGTTTTGCCTGTGATGAATTGATGTCCTCACAGTGGATTTTTAATTGACTAATAATATGTGTGTGAAACTTGCAGCTCACTTTATTGATTATTGAAAGTCTAGCTTCTTGCATAAAAAAAATCCATCAGGTTATAGTGTTTATGTTGTATGAATAAAATTAACTAGCGTGGTGTTTGGGTTGTGCTGAATGGCTTTGGGTGTGAGGTTGTTTCAAGGTAACTGGCTTTCATTGACTTTTGTCAGTGGGTAAACTGACGCTTTTATTTACTTATACATATGCAGCATTTAAACTTACAAGAGACTCATAGAATAACTGTGATACCTCCATTATACATTATATCAGGCCTTAGAATTGATTTGAATAAAAAAAAAAAAGATATTTAAGTTAACTCTCATTTCTTGAAAATGTTTGTCAGAGGTGTAAACCGCAGTGTTTAACTGTTGTTGGTTATTTACTGCTTTCATTTCCTTTGATAGAGTTGCAACGCATGACTTACTTCCACTATCGCCAACCTTATATGCCTGTGACATTTAACAAAACACTTGGATTTTTAATTAATGAGGCTATGTTTTCCCCTGCGGACCCCTGAAATGATATGACTCTTAGTGCAGGAGGTGTTGGTATTCCAGAACTTGGAGTGGCTTCCACAATGCGTGTTATTTTATGTTTTAAAAGTCAAATACTTTATGTCAAATAAAGGCGAATGTAATATAGTAATTGTAATCAGCAATTGTAAGCAAAGTGTATTTGATCAAGAAACCATATGAATAAAATGCAGGAAAACAAATTCAGTAATGGGTTATTTTTTTTTATGTAATTCAGTTCATTTCTTCTAATTATTTAAACAATAAGGTACAAAACCAATGACGTATTACATGAAGTGTGATTTGATGGAACGTTGCTATGCAACAACACCAGTGAAAAGGTGAACAGGTGTTCCAGTCATAGTTGAATTTTTAAGCAATTAAATTATGATTTTAGAGTATTAATCAGATTCGCTTTTTTTTTTAGCCAACAAGCACAAAGAATATAACTTTGCATTTAAGACCGCATGTGCTGATATACATGTTATTCAGTATGAATATACAGATATACATTTAATAAATTTATAATTTATGCCTTAAAAGTGCAACAAATATAGTGGTGGATAGGCTATTTTATACCTGGATTAGAGGAATTGTATTCTGTTCTGCTCCCTTTCCACCAAAATGTAAAAGAAGTGCCATTTAAAATGATGTATTTACCCAACTACGGAATTTCTACGATTCAAATGTAATGTGGATTCAAACACTGGCCAAATCTGTAGTAATGATATATTGAAACTGTCGAGTATTTCTTTTTTTCAGTGTAATCTGGTTAAATTTGGACCGAGATATCTCATTTTTTAAAATTTTATTAGGAAATTATTTGATTTGTTCAGTCGGTATGATTTGGTTTGTTTAAGCCCCTACAGTGTGTATGCAATTTTTTAAAAAATTACTTTTTTTTTTTTAAAATTTGCAATGATTTTTTATTAATAAGTATATCTCATGCTGTATGGACTTATGGTCGCCTATAATGATCTATTAATTGCAAAATAAAAAATAAACATCTTTCTGTGTCTTTGACATAGACATAACAAGCATGCATACGCAGTATATATGAAGATCTACTCGGCATATTTGAGCAAGCATATTGCACTGCATTACATAAAACTAACAGTCGGCTAAAGGCTTAGTAAAAATCGTGCATATAAAGAGCAATAGTGCCGCTCAGTGATGGGAAAGGCAGGAGTGCTCTGCTGTCCTCTGCTGTTGGCTGGTGCTCAGAGAAGCGCTCGCAGCCTGTACTGCAGTTCCTACAAGACCGAATCAAACGGAACGGTAACCACGGCGCAAATATAAAGATGGGGGAGCGCAGCGCTACCGAATTGCGGATTAATAGGTCAGTATTTGTCAGTCGATATTAAAACAAATCAATTGAAACGCAAGAGAGCTATGATGAAGATGATGATGATACGCCAGGAGTCGCGTGCGAGACCGTTGATCGCTCTCAGCAGATGCTGATGATGGTCGCGCGACCTGCGTGATTTCCCCCCCGCTGGTAAGACCACCCGCTAATGATGCTTTCGCGTTCAGATGCAAATACAAACACACGCAAAGGGAGCACAGCTAAACATGTCCTCAGAATATCATCTTACGGATCCAACTGTATTTGTGGGTCACATAGCATCTTATTCATTTAACACATCAGGTACATAGGGAGTTAAAAATAAAGATAATATGGCCGTATGCGTTAAGCTTAGACGTTGTCATTTAAACGCATAGGGGGTGTATAAGTGTTTGTTTGTGCAGTGTGTATTTCCGTTGGTTGGGGAAAAATCCTCACGTTGAGTCACGTCAAAGCGCGAGTCATTATAGAGGTGCGGTGTGTTACTTCTGATTTATAGTGGGCCATATATCCACTTAGTAGCAGCCCTTCTATTAGATTCGCTAAACGAACGGAACGACTTGAAGCCAGAAGTCATAACGTCAGCGGTGTCTTTAACGGTCGGGAATGACATAATGCTTTCTAGTGGCGTTTCGTTTCGTGAACGAATCGATGCTTTTGAGTGAATCTTTTAAGTGAACGAGTCTTGTTCACTTCCGTGCACTGACTCGTCTTTTTTGGTTCACTGAAGTGTCTCCCGCTGCCTTCCTGTCATTACGGTCCAATAGTATTTGAGTGCTTCCTGTGAAGAACAGCTCATTACTGAACAAATAGGCCAGTTTATCTGAACAAGCTGTTTGCTACATTCGGAATAACACTGCAGTAAAGCCTGCAATTGTTACCTGATTCAACCCGTTACATATAGTTTTGTTTGCATAAATGAATGTATTGATTCAGTGATGTGAAATATTATTTTTGACTTGAATGAAACCAGTTAATTTAGATGTGCAACAGGTGGGTTCCATAAGTAAAACTCATTTTCTCCATTGGGAAATTGATTTTTAATAACAACTTGCAAATCTTTGTGAACTCCGGCATTGTTAATGGCATATGCATTTGTTTAAGCCATCTGTGCACTTTACTTAAGCTAATTTTTAAAATAAATGTCTTGACAGCAGAATTCATGGTAAAAACTACATTACCCAAGATACTGTATGGAAATTCCACCAATTGGAGAATCAAATTGCACCAAAGGGTCTCTGCAGGGAATGCCCTCTCCCATGAAACACGATTTAATCAAGACGGTTTCACTGTGCTTTAAAATACTTAAATATTTATGCATGATTTTGCAATAAGCTCAAAATATATTGTTTCTATAGATATAATCAACAACTTTAAACAAATCATTTTATATTTTTCATTTGATTGTCATTCGCAATGCTTCATGGGATTGTAGTTCTTTCCTTCACTAAAGCTTCTAAGTACAGTCTTAAAGGGGTCATATGATGCTTTTTTAAAGATCATTATATTCAGTGATGTGAAATATTATTTTTGACTTGAATGAAACCAGTTAATTTAGATGTGCAACAGGTGGGTTCCATAAGTAAAACTCATTTTCTCCATTGGGAAATTGATTTTTAATAACAACTTGCAAATCTTTGTGAACTCCGGCATTGTTAATGGCATATGCATTTGTTTAAGCCATCTGTGCACTTTACTTAAGCTAATTTTTAAAATAAATGTCTTGACAGCAGAATTCATGGTAAAAACTACATTACCCAAGATACTGTATGGAAATTCCACCAATTGGAGAATCAAATTGCACCAAAGGGTCTCTGCAGGGAACGCCCTCTCCCATGAAACACGATTTAATCAAGACGGTTTCACTGTGCTTTAAAATACTTAAATATTTATGCATGATTTTGCAATAAGCTCAAAATATATTGTTTCTATAGATATAATCAACAACTTTAAACAAATCATTTTATATTTTTCATTTGCTTGTCATTCGCAATGCTTCATGGGATTGTAGTTCTTTCCTTCACTAAAGCTTCTAAGTACAGTCTTAAAGGGGTCATATGATGCTTTTTTTAAAGATCATTATTTAATTTCTTTTTTCTTTCTTTTTTTTCTCCACAAACAAAAAACAAGAAAAATATTACAGACATTGTTAAAAAGAAAGAAAAAATAATAATAATAAAAACTTTTTTTTTTTTAAATTGTACAACAGTACATGTAAGCTCGCTCTCTCTCTCGCGTGCTCTCGCGCTCTCTCGCTCTCTCTCTCACACACACACACACACACACGATGCGCAAAACTGCGCATTTGAACAGTCAATAGCAAATACTTAAACTAATAACAAAACAGTAGCTGATTCAGAAGCGCCAGATTGTCATAGCAAAGTCAGAATTACCTCCTCTCCTAGGTTCACGAAACGGTCGTCCATAAAATGCATTGCTGTTCTGTTGTAAGTAATCTTAAAGATTCCTAAATGCATCTACTTTCGGAAGGCCAAATAAAGTGCTTTTGCTTTCACCTAGAAACACACAGAGTCTCCCTGACATGGCTGCTTCAACACTAACTGCGGTTACTGAAACCACACCTTCTTTCTTTGCGTGCACATTTGGGCAGCATTATGCTAATATTTTCACATAGTGAGGTAGATATGTGGGGGCGTGTTAGAACGAGCCGTTTTAGGGGGGCGTGGCAGAGTCTTAACTTTGATAAAGGATATCTCTTTGGATTTGAGACTTTAGTCTTTGCAACTTCAGGGATCTTATCTATGCACAATCAGCTTGTAACACTCCAAAGAGAAAGGAAAACTTGAAATCGCATCATATGACCCCATTAAATACTTTTTTGCTTCAAGTAAAAGTTTGTAATGTTATGATTCACCTTGTAGCTATTTAGCTTGGTTCATGCTTATAACACTTTAATGAAGACTTTTTTTTTTTTAAATCCCTATGGTAAAAATGTATGGAAAAAAAGAACACTTCTGGAAACAGCACATTTGAAAAAGAGGGCGGCACTAATGCACTCTTTTATGAATTCAGCTGCTGTTTTGAGTATGTCACTGAATCAGTCCCTCGATTTTAGTAATGCTCTGCAGTTTTGGGAAAATAGTAGATCTGCGTTTTATCATTTCGGTCTCACTCTTTTTACAAATCTCTTTCTAAATTAGATACACTAAAGTATATAAAAAGTCTTAAAAGTTTAGGTTGTAAACAGCTTGTTTAGAATGATTTAAAGAAGTAGCTAGCTCACGCAAAAAAATGAAAATTTGCTGAAAATATACTCACCCTCAGGCAATGCAAAAATGTAGATGAGCTTGTTTCTTTATTGGAACAGATTTGGAGAAATTTTGCATTACATCACATGCTCAACGATGGATCCTCTGCAATGAATGGGTGAGAGTTTAAACAGCTGATGAAAACATCACAATAATCCACAAGTAATCCACACAAAGTTGTCTCACCTGAATCAGGGGAGAAATATGCACAGATCAAGTACTGTTTCCAAGTGCGAACAGTTCTAAACAAATAGGTCAGTGGATTTTGATGTGAGAGGACAACGGGGGATGGACTTTGATTATGTGATGGTTTAACATTAAAGGGATAGTTCACACAAAAATAAAAATTCTGTCGGAAAATAGTAGGAAAAAAAATACTATGGAAGTCAATGGCAACCACCAACTGTTTGATTACCAGCAATCTTCAAAATATCTTCTTTTGTATTCAACATAAGAAAGCAACTCATACAGGTTTGGAACGACATGAGGGTGAGTAAATGATGACAGAATTTTCATTTTTGGGTGAACTATCCCTTTAATATGCCTTAATGATGGATTTGTTTCTTACAAACACATAGCTTTTCACTTCAGATATTAATTGATGGAGTGGAGTCATATGGATTACTTTTGGATTATTGTGATGGTTTTATCAGCTGTTAGCATTCTGATGGTACCCATTCAATGAAGAGGATCCATTGGTGAGCAAGTGATGTAATGCTAAATTACATGTCCAAATATGTTCTGACAAGGAAACAATCGATCTACATTTTGTATGGCCTGAGCGTGGGTAAATTTAAATTTTTAGGTGAACTATTCCTTTAATGAATCACTCACACAACTTACTGCCTAACAATCTACTCTACAGGCATAACAATGTAACCTGCAGAAAGGGTCACTGAATCAGTGAATGAATCAGAACAGATCATCTTGACGAAATGAATCAAAAGATTCAAGTCATTGGGATTTATAAAAATCCCTTCTACTAATTGAAGCAGCAAGTAAATATGAGTTGACGGCTGTTGTTACGTTTTATGGTGTTGATGTAAGAACTACATTTACACAACAGTAATAACTATAATATCCACATTACTATAATATCCAGTATTATGTATATATGTTTTACACTCATTACATTCAGAGTTCTTCTTTGATTGCTTTCATGTGACTCCTTAGCGGCTCGTTTCTCTTCTCTCTTCACATTACTTTTACTCATGACAAATTCTAGATAATATGCATGTATTCTTTTTCACAGCCATTATACTCAGAATTCTTCCTTTACTGGTTCTATGATGTGTTCTCTTCTTGTCACTATTAAGTGGCTCCTTAGCGGCTCTTGTTTCATTAGCTTACAGAATGCAGTCTGTGCAGACAGTATTGTCATACATAATCAGCACTAGCACAGAGCAAGTGAACTCAAATGCCCTTTTGTGAATGGGGGATTTATTCCAGGGTTTATTTTTGTATGTGGGTTGGATTGGGGGGAGGGGTATTTCCCCAGATGTCAACATCAAAATGTTTTTCCTTATGTAGGAGCTTCCTGGTTCCTTTGCATCACCTTATCTGAGTCCCAGCCAACCTGACAGGTGAGTCTTAAGGAGTTTCCGGTGGACTGACGATATGCACCAAAAGATCGTATAAGAGAGTTCTAAAAGTCTGAATGTGGAATATACACAGAGATATATTAGCTGTATTGCAGTTGCAATTTCTATATCAATTTCTTTACAAATTATTGTAAAAATTTTGCAAACATTCAAATTCAATTTAGCGATTTTTGCTGTTATTGTGAGTTGTGTCTTCATAATGAGGCCGTGGTTAAGCTGTGGTATTAAATGGACCTTTTTTGTGTTATGTAGAATGATTGAAGAGGGAAGTAAAAGCAGCAAATCCATGGTGGAGAAGAGACAGCTCTTCATGGAGATGAGTGAGTTGCTTTCAGAGTTAACATTTTCTGCACAATGCACCACACACATACACAGAGGTCTTGTTGAATTCTATTCGCCCTCCACTGCCACAGGGCAATAGACTGGCACAAACTAGTGTCTATGGTTGGAAGGCAAAAATGATTTTGAGAAAACAGTAGAAACAGGTTGATGGTCCAAGTAAAACTGTCACAGTTGCTTTGTATATTCAGAGTATTTTTGTGTTTGTCATAGATTACACATTTTTGAAGGGATAGTTCACCCAAAATTTCTCATCCTCATGTCGTTCCAAACCCGTATGACATTTGTCTTTTGTAGGACACAAATGGTGGAAAAATAATATAGGCCGCTTTTATGAAACTTTGAAGGTGACATTTTCAGATTCTCTGCGAAATCCAGCCATTAAGAAAAAAGAAAGTTTGGCACACCACAGCTCCAAAAATGTAAAAGTGTTTATTTCATGTTCTCACCACAGGTGACGTTTCAAGCCGTATGGATCTTCATCAGACAAACTTTGAGATATAGACTAATAGTTGAACACCCTCATTGAGAATTTTTTGCCTGTCAGATGTGCATATTTTTAAAAACTTTTTGTAAAATCTAGTCATTTCATTAGGAATCGATGAAACGCTCCAGTTACTTACATAACCTTGGTTCCCTGAGATAAGGGAATGAACGTTGCATTAACACGCTATGGGGAAACTCCTGTTTTCTCTGATGCTGAAGCCTGATTTGATCACGTTCGTGTAGCTGCATGGACCAATGGCGCTTCAACCTGCCAAAAGGGGTGGAGCCGACTGCTATACAAGTCGGCTCTGAGCGCCATTTCGTCAGAATCTTTCAACTGAAGCGACAGTCATCGACTCACGTGCAGCTTTATAGCACATCAGCATATGCAACACTCATTCCCATATCTCAGTGAACCGAGGTTATGTAAGTAACCAGAGTGTTCCTTTGCATCCAATCGCGCCATGCTATAAGCAAGTGCAGAACAAAGCTGCTCTGCATACCCAGCCCCGGAGCGCCCGTACTAAGGGCTCCTGTAAGTCTGAGCTAACAATGAGACCCAAGCCACCTAGGCTGAGGACTAAATAACAAAACCTTCTCCACTTACAAAGGGGATTAGGTAAACTTAAGTGGACAAAATCCGTGCCTGCAGGGCAGGGACGTCCAAATTATAAAACCTGGTGAAGGTAGATGGCGATGACCAGCACACAGATATCACCAATAGAAGTCAACAAACACTCTAAGGACCCGAACCCGGCAGAGTGGATTAGGATCCTGCTCATCCTTTCAATTTGGAAGAGCTAGAAGGGTGATGACTTGTGCTCTGAACGGAGTGAAGCCACTCGCTTGACCGACATTAACAAAAAGAGGGCGGTCTTACGTGACAGGGGCCGCAAGTCGGCGGGCTGGAGCGACTTGAAGGGAGGGCCCCGTAGGGCCCTGTGGACTATAGATAAGTCCCAAGTCGGCACAGTATGAGGACGAGGCGGATTCAATCTCTGAGCTCTCCTCAGAAAATTAATGACAAGGTTGTTTCTGCCGAATGGGAGGCTAGGCACGAGAGAATGATTTGCCCGCGATGGCAGCTACTTATACTATGAGCGTGGAAAGGGTGCGCCCTTTGTCCAGTAGCTCTTGTAAAAAGATCAGCACATGATACGCATCACAAGAGGACGGGTCCTTGTTCCGTGCTGCACACCATTCAGAAAAGACTGACCATTTAAGGGCGAAGAGATGTTTTGTAGATGGGACTCTAGCCTCCAAAATGGTATTAGTCACACTTGCGGGGAACCATGTCTGATTCCTCCAGAGTGGGGCCACCAGGAGGACAGAACATCTGACTTCCCTGACCCGTCTGATGACCTGAGGAAGCAGGGCAACCAGGTGGAAGGCATACAAGTGAGCGCTGGGCCATTTGTGAGCCAGAGCATCTCGCTGCTTTGAAAAGTAAATTGAGCAGTGAAAGTTGTCTTCTGAGGCAAAGAGGTCCACCTCTGCCCTCCTGAAGACAGACCAGATCATTTGTACCATTTGGGGATGTAGTCTCCATTCTCCTGGAGCTACATTGCCCCTGGACTGAAATGTTCTCAACGAGAGGAGTTTGCCTGTGCCCATAAAAGGGGGCATCGAGCCAACCTATGAAGGGAGTGTGACCTGAGACTGCCTTGGTGATTAATAAGGCTACCACTGTCATGTTGTCCCAATACATTTGCGCCAATACTGGAGGGGCCGTATGTGAAGCAGGCCCAGAGGAATCACAGAGGAAGTGGCTCACATGAGGCCGAGCATCCTCTGAGAAGCCCTGAGGGTACATGTTGTCCCGAGTCTGAATGACACTGCTAGCCGCTTAAATTTAAGGGAGCATTCCAGCGTAATCCATACCCGCATCTGGGCAGAATCGATAACTGTCCCCAGGAAGACCACTCACTGGCTTGGAGAAAGAGAGCTCTTGGCTAAATAAATTTTTAGCCCAAGCCGCTCCAGGTGGCTGAGCAGCAGCGACCAGTGAGCTATGAGTTCTTGTTCCTTTCTGGCTAAGGCCTGCCAATCATCTAGGTCAGAGCTTCCCAAACTTCAGAGGAGTAAGCCCCCCCCCACACACCTCTTTGTTAAAAAATATATAGATTAATAGTATATAGATATATTTAGATATATTTGTATATTATATATATTTAATAAAGCAGATTGTCTCTTTGCACAAAATTATCAACATTTATTAACCAGTTTGTAAGAATTTCATGTGAATTATGAGAACTACTATACAATTTAATATTTTTATATTCTGGTGAAAGTAAGATGATGTAAACATTCTTTACAAATATATTTAAATCCATAACACTACATACTTTCTGCATACTATTTACAATTATATTGCATCAAAGTGTGTAACAGAAGCTACATAGTTCACAAATCTATTGCAATGAAATACATAACTATGTTTAAAAAAAACAACTAAAAAACCTACATTTAAACTGAGGAACGATGTAAACTTTGTCAGTTTTAGTAAAGAACAGTCCCACAGTCTGATCAGCAGTCTTCCAGACAGTACCTAATGAGATGGGTGATGTTGCTTTTCAGCTGTTAAGGATTTGATGTCTGGCTGAATCTACGTCAATTTAAGACAGAGATCAGATTCCACACTCAACACATTCCTGTACTTTGTCTTTAAGGCCACAAGCACCGAAAATCCCACTTCACAAATATACGTTGTGGCAAACGGCATCAAAAACATTATTGCCTTGTTGGCAAGTTCAGGGTATTCGTTTGACACAAGTAACCAGAACTGAGTCCAAGTTTTTTCCAGAAAAAATCAGTTTCAAGGAGCTGTCACAGGATAGATTGACGAGGCTGTCCTGTTCCTTGTAGGTGAGTCCCGCAATTACATCCTCAGTGTGGTTGGCAAAGGGATACTGTATCCAGCTCTGCTGTTTGCTGATGTCAGGGAAGTAGTCCTGCATCTGAGACTTTAAAGCCTGCATGTGCTCTTGTCATAGCAACTGCTGCAGTGATGGAAAGTGGCCTCTCCTTCTTAGACAAAAAGTGGACACGTTTTTGAAGGACTCATAGTTGGCTTGGGCAATTCTTTTCTCCCACAGATCAATTTTCTTTATGGTTGCCTCTATTTTGTTTTGCACGTGAAACATTGTTACTGCTGTCCCCTGTAGGGCTAGATTGAGTCCATTCAAGTGGCTGAAAATGTCTGCCAAGTAGGCCGATTTACAAAGCCAGTCGAAATCACAGAGGCGGTCTGCAAGTTCAAATTTGGAATCAATGAAAAATGTTCTGACCTCGTCACGTAACTGGAAGAGCCGGGTGAGTACTCTGCCATGTGAGAGCCAGTGGACCTCGGTATGTAGTAAAAGCTGGCGGTGTTCACTACCCATCTCTTCACACAAAATGGAAAACAAACATGCTTGCAGTGGACGACTTTTAATGTAATTCACCATTCTGACAGCATCGTCCAAAACTGTCTTTAAATCCATGGGGATTCTGTTAGCGGCTAATTTCTCTCTGTGAATACAGCAATGTACGTGAGTGAGCAACGAGGCCATGTCCTTGACTCGCTTCACCACTCCACTGCGTCGGCCCAGCATAGCACGAGCACCATCAGTGCTGAGTTCAACGCACTTTGTCCAGTTGATGTCACTGGAAATTATGAAATCGTTCAGAATGTCAAAAATAGCTTCTGCAGTTGCGTTTGAATGTAGAGGTCTGCAAAAAAGAAAGTTTTCCTCAATTTCTCCATCACATTTATACCTAACGAATGCGAGCAAATTAGCCATACCCGCGATGTCTGTGGTCTCATCAATTTGAATTGTATAAAAAACGACTCGCTCGAACTCTGCAAATTACATATCATATATTCGGTGCTTAACCGTGTTGTTTGATAAAGAAATCAAGTTAAGTTGCTTAACTGCATTGTTTCCCAGCATTATGCTGACCATCTGCTTAGCGGTGTGGGGCTTTCCAGATGTAGCTATCAGTCTTGATACCTCATAGGATGCTATCACTGCCTTTTCTTTTTCGCCACCCGTCACACAGGTTGACTCGATCACTTTTTTACGATGCAGGTAATCTTTAAATTTATTTGCAAAAAATTCTCGAGGCTTGCTGGCAAACAACCCATGTTTTGTTTCAAGGTGACGGCGTAACTTGCATGGTTTCAGTGCCTCATTAGCAAGGGTCTCTGAGTATAGCACACAGACAGGCGTGGGGTTGTCAGCAGGACCAACACTCGTAAATCCGAAGGACAAGTACTCCCCACTGTACTTACGAGTCTTTCGTTTACTTGAAGTGCAGTTAGGTCCAGTTGATGAGGATGGATTGTCACATTTTTTAATTGATGGTTAATTGTGACTGAATTCCTACTAAGCAACTGATGTCAGTTTGAAAATAAGCAATGTATCTCACCTGTTTATACTGGAATTTTTTTTAAATGTTTTTTATTTGTGTCATAAGGAGGGGGGAAAAAATCACATTTTAGAACAATTAGAATATTTTAATTATTTTAATATTTTGATTTGGCCTAGCCACGGCCCCCCTGCTGGGAAGCACTGGTCTAGGTAATTCCTCTGTCTTTTTAGGGGAAAGAGCCGCGTCCATTTACTTTGTAAAGTGCATAGGGCCAGAGACAGTCACCCCCTCAAACGTGAATCTCAAGGGTGCTCTGTTATGAGGGGCAATCTGGATGTGAAAGTGAGCGTCTTTTAGATCTACTGATAAAAAAAACAGTCCCCGGGGCATATTTGAACGAGGATCTGCTTCCAAGTCAGCATCTTGAATGGGAGATTCATAAGTGCACGAGGAAGTAGCGGCTGCAAAAGCTTGACTCGCTGTTCGCTAGAGGAACCATTTCCACGGCTCCTTTTACAAGCAGAGTTTGCACTTCAGACCGGAGAACGTGAGCATTGTCGTCCTGTACTGAAGTTTGAATAATGCCTCTAAAGCGAGGTGGCCTGCGAGCGAACTGGAGTAAGTAACCTCCTTCTACTGGCCTGGAGCGCTTAGGCAGGAAGTGGTGAATGACCTGTGATGACTTCTAAGCTGCAGTGAAGCACTTTGCAAATCTGCCAGGAATATGGCGGGTAGAGGTGTGCAGCGACCGCCTCTTCTCTAGGGGGGCGCTTGCCATACCCTCTTACTTCAGCACCGTCAACAGAGGTGAGGGCGGCAGAATTAGAAAAGTGGACATGCGCCAAGTAGGGGCACGCCACGCCTCTGTGAGTTCATTGTGAACTTCCGAGAAAAACGGCACTGGACTCTAGCGGGGTCTCATCTGAAGGATGGTGCTTTTTACAGTATAGTGTCCCCTTCACTATTGTAGCGTCTGGACCACTCAAACACACAATATATATTTTGTTAGCTAGATTTAACAAATACTCTGTAATACCCCAGGAAGCCGAACAGGCCCCTGGTTCCATGGTAACCCTGACACCCGATACATTTACGACCTCCTGGAATTTAGGTGAAGAAAATCGCTTCCTTGCCCATAGGGAAAATCCACAAGGGAAGGACTTTTCTTTGCTAATTAATTAATAGGAAAACCTTTCTTTGAATGAACACACATGATCCTTCAGGTCATTGGGTATATTATTGTCATCGTGTATTTTGTTTTTGAAATTGTATACTGTTATGCAGGCTTATAATCGAAACTGGGTCATTAGGACCCACACAGACCACAGGGTGAGCACCCCCTGCTGGTCTCACTAACACCTCTTCCAGCAGCAACCTAGTTTTCCCAGGAGATCTCCCATCCAGGTACTGACCATACTCAACCCTGATTAGTTTCAGTGGGCAACCAGTCTTGGGCTACAGGGTGATATGGCTGTGGCTTCTAGCGATCTTCCTCTGCCGGGGCTTCCTCTAATGGCAGCAGCAGGCTGAGCTTCTTGCTTCGACTTCTTGCTTCAGAGTCCAGTGGGGAGATGACCTTCATTGCTAAAGGAGAAAAATTCTGATGAAATGGCACTCAGAGCCGACTTATTTAGCAGTCGACTCCACCCCTTTAGGCACCATTGGTTTGTGCAGCTACATGAACATGTTCAAATCAGGCTTCAGTAGCAGAGTAAACAGGACTTTCCCCATAGCATGTTAATAGCATGCTCGAAAGGGAACCAGGAGTATTGCATGAGGGCGAAAAAGTTCCCCAAGCAGATTTTACTCGTGTACAAGTTGGTAACATGAATTGACCAACAGAAAGCTGCTTGGTTTGCAAGCGAACTTCTGTGTGAGCTGTGATTCATCTATCGCTACACTATTGAGAATTAACGATGGATATTTTTTGCCCACATAATTTTGCCAAAAATGTGCTAATGTGACTAAACATGACTGTACCTTTTTAGTGAGGGATTGCTGTCATTTTGGATCACGACAGCCTGGATCCCTACATTCTTAAAGATAAAGGTTCTTTATTGGCATACAAGATTCTGTCAAAGAACCTTTAACATACATGGAAACTTCTTTATAGTACGAAAAGTTTCTTTAGCTTTTTAAAATGTTCTTTACACTAAGAAAAAAATTGTTCTTTTAAAAACTGTTCTTTTATGGCATTGCTGTGAAAACCCCCTTTTGAAACCTTACTTTTTAAGAGTGTATTATGTGGAAAAGAGCAGCCAGTACATTCTTCAACATTTCTGTGTTCCATTTAAGAAAGAAAGTAATACAGGTTTGAAACAACATGATGATGAGTAAATAATCTTCTCTTCAATGATTCTGGATTCAGGACATGCGCTGTGAGAAACATGTGCTTTGCTTGACATTGTGTGTTTTCACTTACCGGTATTTCAGTTTTTCTGTTCCAAATGCTCTACAGAGGCATAGTTTTTGCTGCTTGAAATGGAATAAAAATGTGATTCATAAAACTCAAAATGCATAAAGCATCTCAAAAATGCTTTTATGATGCGAAATTAATGCAAACACAATCAGTTATGGCTTAAGGACAGGACAAAACATCTGATATGTTAAAATAGATTTGTGCATTAGTGTGAATGCAAATTAATATACCTACCACAGTTTGTCATTAGTAATATATCATTTATAATTGCTTGTATGTTTTGAAGGTATATTTAGTTGATTATAATTCTTTTACTTTTTTTTTTACATTTATTATTAATATGTAATTAATTATTTTAAAAAGTACTAATATAAGTAATTTAATAAAATTGCACAAATAATTTCAAGAATGATTTTGGAATCAGATTGTGATACCCAGAATTGAAATTGGATGCCAAAGGATTCCCACCCCTAGTAAATAAACAAAATTTGAATTTTGGTTCAAACTATTGGTTTAAGGGTCTTGCCAATGTGAAAGTAACAAAACTGATGCATGTGATTTTCACCAGGGGCACAAAACTTTGATGTTATTCGTCTCTCAACGTATAGGACAGCATGTAAGCTACGATTTGTTCAGAAACGATGCAACCGTAAGTCCTGTTTCCATGTTATTTATTTTAAAATACCATTCAGTGCATTTTGTGTATTTTGGTGTTTGTACAAAGTCACTTTTGTTGTATATCATGTAAATGTGTTCTAGTATGGGAAAAATAACAGAACATATCCATTCTGTATTTTTAATGATCTCACTGGTGTACTTTTCCTGTCGTAGTTCACCTAGTGGACGTGTGGAACATGATTGAAGCTTTCCGTGACAATGGGCTGAGCACGTTAGACCACAACGCAGAGATTAATGTGTCACGCCTGGAGACCATTTTGTCCTCCATCTTCTATCAGCTCAACAAGCGGCTGCCCACCACCCACCAGATAAACGTGGAGCAGTCCATCGGCCTGCTGCTAAACTTCATCGTGGCCACTTATGATAGGTATGTTGTTAGTGAGGGAGATTTGTTTTTCTCTCAGGGGGTCCCAGGGCAAACCTGATGGACTGTGAGTCATATGTGACAAGAGTGAGTGTTTGGAAGGCATAGGCTCTGTTCCAAAACATAGTGAGCTGCCTAAGGAGGCAGCATTTTAAGAAATCGTAAATACACTCCCAAAGGCTATTTCAAAAGATAGGCATCTTAAAGGTCCTCTGAAATGCTTAGAAACACGCAGCGTTACTCTATGTGTTGACGTCATTTTAACTGAAACAGGAAGACAGGGCGGGACATATCAAGCAGCCCCGCCCCTTTTTAAAATAGCTAATAGCGTTCGTTTATATCACAGCTTAGGCTAGAGCCGTTGAGCTCCGTAAAGCCGCATTTGACAGGGTATGCCAGCCACAATCTCATCCATATTGCTATAAAATATAGCATTCTGTGTAGAATTCAAATAGCTCCGATGCATTTTGTGGTCTGCGCCAACTCGTGCATGTGATCCACTCCGTGCTATCGTGTCTCTGGATCTCAATGGAAAGCATATTTACACTGTTTGAATCGTTCCCTGTCCCCTATATAGTGCACTACGTGCCATTCACTGTACAGAAAATACAAATTCTGTGGACAAGTGACCGATTTCAGCCGTGCCTTCAGCGTCTATTTTATAGTGTAGGGGGCGGGCGCTTCGGATTCTAGAGAGCATTTGATTGGACAGAAAGTTTGATGAGAAGCTGAAGCACGATGTGACGTCAAAAAAATCGTTGAGCCATTTTGGCGGAAGTGACGAACTGCAAGCTTTGAATGCTTATATCTTCTAAATGCGAATTTTGTCACTGTTTTGGAGCACACTACCTTATAGATAACCTTAAGACTAACATATTGATACTAACACTCAAAAAACTTTAATTTTGATTTCATGGGGACTTTAACTATGTTGCTTACTTAGATAGTGCACCTCGTTTTGGCAAAATTCTAAAGTTGCGGTCATATTTACCATTGATTGTTGAATTTTTGCAAACAAAATCCAGTCATTTCAATAGAATTCCACTCGATTTGGAATTTCAAGTGAGGGTGAAAGATTTCCCCGTGCAGATTTTCTATGTTTGTTTTTTTACCGTTCCAAGATGGCGGACACGTTGATGTGTCTGGAGCAGTTGAATGTAGCTTCACGTATACATATCTATGCAGACTGATGGCAGAAGGTCTGGACTCCATCGCAGCTTTCATTGGCTAAGGGCCACCCATGTAAAGTCGATGTCCCTACAATAACAGACCAGTGTGAAACCAATTAATCATTTATTAAAGAACGTCATGCAAGTTTACTGCAACAAACTTCACATATTTTGAAAATCCAACATTTAGGTGATCCTGATAAGCAATCATTATAACAGATGTAAACACGATGCCTCCAAAGCGATCTTAATTATGGTTGACAGCAAGAAATGTTTAACATTTCAAATTTTGACTGAACACAGCTAACACCTAATGGAAGTCAAGAAGTAAAAAAAACATGGTGCATAGAGACTGAATGAATTAGATGAATTGGTGAGTCGTTTTTGAACTGGTTCATTTACTTGAATGGTTCAAACAAACCTTTTCACTAAAATGAATCGACTTTCCAACACTAAAAATGAGCTAGAGGACATTTTAGCATCCTGTGCACAATTTGACAAAAAGGGAGACGTAGCTTTTTGTCATGCTACACTTCTACCTCTTGGGAAAAGTAGCTGAAAAAACTACACTATATACTATAAACAGCGGAGCTGCTGTAAAGCTACAGAAAAACATAGTTAAATTTGTAGCATTGTTAAGCTACTTTCCAAGACTGAGCTTACCATAGAAAAAAATAGAAAAATACTAATAATGAATTTGGTTGTGGGCCTTCTAACACGATCAATAGTCAAACATGTTCTGTTTACGCATATATTTCCAAAAGATTGGCTATAAGAGTATGAAATTTGCTGTAGTCCAAACAGTAAATGCAATTTAAAGAATCTTAAGGCTTAGGATTGCTATAATAAAACATCTTCTGATAATGTGTTGTTTGTGTTTCAGTGAAGGCCATGGGAAACTCACGGTGTTTGCTATGAAGTCAATGCTAGCTACGATGTGTGGTGGTAAAATACTGGACAAATTACGTTGTGAGTATCATGCCTGTTATACAGCTATTCAGCAGTGATTTTACAAAGATGCAATGGATATTTTCTGTCACAAAGAGGGGTTCATATGCTTTATAATGCTAAACTGTTGTTGATTAGTTATTTTGAACTCTTCTAGGGCTGCCAACTCTCACGCATTCAGTGTGAGACTCATGCAATTGACACTTTTCTCACGCTCTCACGCCACACGTCCATTTTCTCGCACAATGAAAAGCACCAGTTGAAAATGTAATAATAGAATATTGGCGAAACAGATTTGGAAATCACTCCAGTGCGTATTTTTGTTTGCGCTCTGGAGAACGTCAAAAGTTTCTATTTACTGCGTGTTTTTGTAACGTATTTTGTAGCGCAATGTAGCCAATCACAGACAGATCTGTTGATTCTTGAACATCTGTGATTGTGCACTTTCTGGGCTAAATATAATCCATTCAGAATTTGAATAAAATATGTTTTTCGTTTGGGAGTGACATATAAATCCCTCATCCCTCACATAAATGCAGGATTCATTTTCGAAATGGGAGAAAAATAGATGTTCATTAAACGATGTCAATGCAGACTAATAGATTAATAGAACTCCCCCTTCTGTACATAATGTGCACTGAACTCAAAATTACATTCCAATTTGAAATCTATTTTGAATACTCCTTGAAGTTATTAAAAGACATCTCAGCACTAATAATAATAATAATAACGATTTATTTTCATCCCACAAGTGTCTTTTAGCTGTATAGACAGTTCTGGTCAGAATGCTGTTTGTTTTTTGATGAAATTACACAAATCAAAAGTCAATTCATCACATTAGCTTGGAATGTTTTGGGAAATAATAATGCTTTTTACCCAGATATGCTTTTCCATTTTATATATACATTTGAATAGCTACAACTTGTGTATTTAAGTGATGCACATTTTTTATTTCTTTTATTGCTCCACAAAAATAAGCATACTTTTATCATGCTTAATCTGATAATCGATAATGAGTAAAGATAATTATTAGATATCCTCATGCATTATAAATAAAATGTAAATTAAGGATTCATTCTGAATTGTTTGTGCTTAAATATTTATCATGACATGACATACAGTAACCCAAAATCACTTGTATCTCTTTCAGATATATTTTCCCAGATATCAGACTCAAATGGAGTGATGGTCTTTGCCAAATTTGACCAGTTCCTGAGGGAAGTCTTGAAGCTCCCCACGGCAGTGTTCGAGGGGCCATCATTTGGCTACACCGAGCACTCTGTGAGAACATGCTTCCCTCAGCAGGTGAGTACACTAATCTGCTTCAGATAGCAGCGAGAGTCCCTTAAAAACTATCAGGATCTCATTCAACCTGTCTCAGAGTCTTAGAGGCTTTCACTAAAAGCATCTTATCTGTGCTTTGCCAGAAGAAGATCTTGCTGAATACGTTTTTGGATGTGTTGATGGCAGATCCACCCCCGCAGTACCTCGTATGGCTACCTCTCATGCACCGACTCGCTAATGTAGAGAATGGTACGTGGTTCAACTGCATTGTACGTGGGTTTTTTTATATCTTATTTCCCAACGCCCACTGCGTCTGGACACCTCACTCACAAAATATGGCTCAGTTAAAACAAGGTTTGCGGCTGCCTGAAACCCTTTGTGCTGGTATCCCACAGTCTTCCATCCAGTGGAATGTTCGTATTGCCGGAGTGAGAGCATGATGGGTTTCCGGTACCGCTGCCAGCAGTGCCATGGCTACCAGCTTTGTCAGAGCTGCTTCTGGCGTGGTCATGCCAGCGGTCCCCATAGCAACCAGCACCAGATGAAGGAGCACTCCTCATGGGTATGTAGCATTATTCACCCAAAAATGGAAATTTACTCCCTCTCATGTCATTTCAAACCTGTATTATTTTCTTTCTTCCAAGAAACACAAAAGGAGATGTTATGCAGAATATCCAAGCTGTGCTTTAGCTTATAATGAAAGTGGATGGTGATTTAAAATGCTCTAAAATGACAAAGGAAAAAAACAAGGTATATCGATATGTTGCATTCAATGTGTTCAATGGCTCTGTTTGAGGAACAGACCAAAACTCATGAAGTCATTAATCACAACAGATCTCAATTATGCAGGCTAAGGTTTGACATAGTTCTGCATTAAAAGGGAAATTCTTTTCCAAGACCGAAATTTCTGGACACACTGTGCTATAATAGTACTAGGTAGAAATATTAGAGGTAAGAATTTGTAATTTTTTATACAGTAATGAAGTCTATTGAAGAATACTGTATTTAATGAAATAATGTAATGTGAAATATTATTAGAATTTTAAATAACATTTTTTTTATATTATGAAATTTATTCCTTTAAAAGCAAAGCTGGATTTTCATCATCTTTACTCCAGTCTTCAGTGTCACATGATCCTTCAGAAATCATTCTAATAAACTGATCTGAAACATTTTATATTATTATCAATGTTGAAAACAGTCGTGTTGCTTAAAATGTGTGTAAAAACTGGAGGATCCTTTGATGAATATAAAGTAAAAAAGAACAGTATTTATTTGAAATAGAAATGTTTTGTAACATTATAAACGTCTTTACTGTCACTTAATCACTTTGATTTATCCTTGCTGAAAAAAAAGTAATTAATTCTCAAAACTTTTGAACAGTAGTGTACACTTTTATAGCAAAATAGTTTGGCCTTGGGTGAAGGATGGATGAGCAGCAAATATTTTGTTTCCTGTCATTCTTCTCTAATTCAGGATTTCAAGGGGTTCGTGTTTTTCAGTTATATTGATTACATTTTTAATACTCAAGCATTGTTCCAAAGCTCAGTCACACCGCTGGAAATTACAGCTTGGGAAACTATCCGCACTGCCTCCCAAATCCAATTATAAGAGTTCTTCCCCCCTCATTCTTACCACCTCGATACATTATTATTATTTTTTTTCTAACCACAGAGCACGGATTTTGCTGATTCAAAGAAAAATTTTCATTAACTTTAAATGAAATATATCGCATATATAACATTAAATTATATAAAATGTTCTAGCTTCACATGGGAAGTAAGTCTGTGGCTTTTTATGAACAGATCAAATCTTATGCCACAAAACTACATATATTTGAATTACATTTGATTTTGTTAGTTAAGTACGGTTGAGTATATGTAAGATATTTTGGGGTTGTATTTAGTATTTATTTTTAACTTTGCAGGATTTATTTCACTCATTTTACAGAAGTCTCCAGCAAAGAAGCTCAGTCATGCTATCAGTAAGTCTCTGGGCTGCATGCCGATTGGAGAGCCGCCTCACCCTGTGTTCCCAGAGGCAGCAGAAAGACCTCAGGACCTCGCACACACTACGTAAGTTCTCTGGAGTGCTTATCCAATCGCATTTCTTTCTGCCATCTCAGCTCTTTACAACATATACATCTCAAACCATTCATTCACTGCATTTCTGAGTAACTTTGCTAAACTATAAAGAAGAACGCAAAGTTGATCCAGACGGGTCTTACGGCTTTTAAGTGTCACTGTTTCTTGATAAGACTTGTGAACATTTTAGATTTATATAACAGTGAGGTTATAATTGTATTCACGTCCTCTTGTCTGAAATTCCACAGTATTTGTTTCTTATAGCGAGAGCGAATATTGATCTGCAGATCTGTCATGGGAAAGAAATGTAATTAGAAAATGCCAAGAAGAAAGATATTGTGTGTAAAAATATATGGGTACAGTTTTCTCGTTTACTGAATTATAAATATCGGGGAGCTGAATCAATCTTGCCAGACCTTCGCTCTAAGGAACAGGTCCTGATCTATAAGTACTTTCATTAACTGACACATGAACTTGGGATTGATGAAGACCATAAAACTGCTGAACATATGGGCCCTCCACTGGAGGGAAAGTGTAGCAGATTTACTGTGTTCATTTATTTTTCTGATAAAGTACCAGCGGTTTTTGATTATGAGCCATATAAAGTATTAACAGCTCGGATAACAATCGCATGATTTTATAATATCATGCTTATAGTGTTTGAACTGCGGGCGAGGAAAATGAGCGTTCATATTGTTTCAATATGAATGCGAGACTGTAGCCTGTGATAATTTATTTAGTCATTGTTTTTGTCTTCTGATGAAAATGTAGTTTAATTTACTCAGTATTTTGTTATATTCATACATTTAAATCTAGTTTATCATGATATATAATTTTAATCAATGAAAATGTGCAAAACAACCAAGCATTAAAAAAATAAATAAACAGTATATTTATAATAATGTATGTTTATAGAAAGAAATAATACTTTTATTTAGCAAGGATGCACTAAATTGATCAAAAGTGAAAGTAAAGACTTTTATAATGCTACAGATTTATGTTTTAAATAAATGTTGTTCTTCTTTCTTTTCATCAAAGAATCCTGGAAAAACGTATCACGGTTTACACAAAAACATTAAGCAGCACAACTGCTTTCAACATTAATGAGAAATATTTTTTGAACATCAAATCGGCTTATTAGAATGATTTCTGAAGTATCACGTGACACTAAAGACCGGAGCAATGCCTGCTGAAAATGCGTCTTTGCCATCACAGGAATGAATTACATTTTAAAATATATTAGCATAGAAAACAGTTATTTTAAATTGTAATAATATTTCACAATATTTTTTGGTCAAATAAATGCAGCCTTGGTAAGCACAAGTGACTTCTTTCAAAAACATTTAAAAGTCCTTTGAATGGCAGTTCATGTATAATTAATTAATTATAAATACTTTTTTGTGATTTTATTTGTTGCAAAACAAACAAACAAGCAAAAAGTTATATTTTATTTTACATGCTAAATGTCATCATTTAATAATTTTCATTCTGTGCATTGATGATCAGCATTCAAATCTGACCTTGAGGAAGACATCACAGCAGTCACAACAAAGAGCATGATGCTGTTTATGAAGTGAACATATGTGATATAAAAAAATCAGATTTACTGGTCCTTAGATCCCATGCAGGCAGACGGTCTCCTGTGGGGACTAAAATAATAGCTGAAGTGCACAGTCATGCTCCAGTGGCATTTCTGAGTTGGCAGAGAATAGCTGCTACTAAAACAGTTTTATCAGTATCAAGTTTTAAATTTAATGGAGGCTGCTGATAGTACCTGAGGCACAACCCCTCGAGGATCCCGCTCTGTATCTTTATAGAGATATATAAGCATTTTAATCCAAATGTTTCTCTCAGATACTTCCTTTGACTCTTTCTGTCTGAAGCAAAGTGTGGTGGATTACTGCCAACAACTGAACATATTTTTGGACTTTTCTTTATTTTTGAGTCCCCTTAATCCAGTGGTTTTCAAACTTGTTCCTGGGGACCCACTGCTTTGCACATTGTGCATGTCTCCCTAATTTACACACCTGATTCAGATCATCAAAGAGCTCCATGAACTCAAATGTGTGTGTCAGATAAGGGAGACATGCAAAATGTGCAGAGCAGTGGGTCCCGAGGAACAGGATTGAAAACCACTGCCTTAATCGATACCAAAATGTATTACCTTCTTAATACACATAACAATCCTTGTCTGCCTCTGAAATTACTTTACTTTTTAACTGCTGTCATGAATGAATACCTCTTACTTTTCAACTCCCATGCCCCCGAGCCGCCAATCACCGTTCTGGTATAAAATGCGTATTTTCACAATCCAGTCAATTTCTGATGGATAAAATGAAGTACAGTATGTAATTTTGCCCTGTTTCACTCATTATGCCACATTACAAAATAAATATGTTGTGAATGACGCAACATGTTGTCTAGAGTAAACTATAAACATTAAAGGGGACATATCATGAAAATCTGACTTTTCCAGGTTTTAAGTGCTATAATCAGGTCCCCGGTGCATCTGCCAACCAAGGAAACGTGAAAAAGATTAACCCAGTAACTTTGTTATGGGAAGCCTTTTTCTGCAAGCGTCTGAAAAAACGAGCACGTTTTATTTCGCTCACTTGGTGACGTGGCAAAAGGATCTCATTATAATATTACCGCCCCTTAATCTGTACGTTTCCACCCACAGCGCCGTCATTTTGATTTCACAATTGCAATAATTCATTTCTGCATAATAAACAAAGATCTTGGACTTTAAACTGACACCTAGTGGCTTGGATGTAGAATCACGGTTTTTGATTTCTAGTTGTATTTACTTAAGGAAAATTTATGCAGCAGCAATACATAACTACACTTCAACAATACATTTTTAAGATAGTTAATGCCAGATTTTAAGTTGTCTGCTATTATTATTCCTATTATAGGTATAATCTGTAGCATTTCATTTTTTGTGTTGACTTTGATGGTTTGGTACAGTGAAAAGTTAGATATTTAGCCTGTTTATTTTCTGAATATCTTTAAGTTACCAAGTGTAAAGGCTTCACATGTTTAATCTGTGCTTTTAGATGTTGGTTTATGAATACATGCAGATCTTGTGGTTTGCATTCAACATTTAAAGTCCATTTGTTTTAAAAACAAATGTGATCCCTTGAGATATATTTAAAGGGGCCATATGATGCTTTTTTAAAGATCATTATTTTGTGTATTTGGTGTAACAGAATATGTTGACATGCTTTAATGTTCAAAAAACACATTATTTTTCAAATACTGTACATTATTGTAGGTCCTCTATGCCCCGCCTCTCTCAAACACGTCGTTTTCTACAAAGTCCCTCCTTCCGACAAGCGCAGTCTGCTCTGATTGGCCAGCTGACCCAGTGCATTGTGATTGGCCGAACATCGCAAGCACTCGTCGGAAATGTAACGTCCCTTACCATAATTGCGAGCTTCATCTTTCATAAAAAATTTAAAGACAGTAAATAATGTCATTAGTTTTACCATCAGTTCAAGCCCGAAAGTTTGGTCTAGTGACCTAGATACGTGGGGGCGTGTTAGAACGAGCCGTTTTAGGGGGGCATGGCAGAGTCTTAACTTTGATAAAGAATATCTCTTTGGTTTTGAGATTTTAGTCTTTGCAACTTCAGGGATCTTATCTATGCACAATCAGCTTGTAACACTCCAAAGAGAAAGGAAAACTTGAAATCGCATCATATGACCCCTTTAAGATCAGATATGTATTTAAATATGTTTCCTTAGATCTGTTGTAAATGTAATTCTAAATGCAATTTTGCATGTAAATCGATGATGAAATAATACATCTTATGAAAGAGTGTGTACATTTTACCCTCTTATTACCACCTAGAATAGATTCAGACTTAATGATGAAATTGCCTCTGAACTCACTGTGACTGAAGGGCACATTTGCCAGCTCATGTCTATTTTTAGTTCCCAAATTCAGATTGTTAAGCAATTAAAACTGCTCTTGAAATATCCCTTTGTACCGCTCGAATAGCATCTTCTTCAAATAGTCTTTGTGTGAAAGACTTGTAGAAATTTATTTTCAAATAACGCTTCCTATTTATGGATAAAGAGAGCAAGAGACTTTCGTAATGCTTCCTTTAATTGGCCACGCAACAATTAGAGATATGAAAGAGTTGAATTAGAATAGATGAATATCAGACCTTGATTACAATGCGAATCACATTTTCACACCTTTAAAGACATGAAATGGCATTCACAACCCATTTAACTTCTGTAATGTGACACATTTCAGAATCAATCAGAATTTAAATGAGAAAATTATGTAAGTGACAAGCAAAATCATTTAAATAAAAGACTACAAAGACTACTTTTTCCCCTTTAATGTGCACAGATAAATAATTTACAAATATATTTTTTCCAAATATATATAAAAATATTTTTAATATGCATTAAAAAGTAAGAAAGAGGTTCATTCTGAGATTAAACATGCACTTTGAATACTCAGCTGTTTGATTCCTCCCCTTCTGTCACACATTGTCCTCTCAACTTATCTAAATGTATAGATTGAGGTGCCTGTGGGCCACTCCATCTCTTTAGTGCTAAATCAATCTCACGCCTCCAGCGTTTGCTGTTTACTATGACTGTGGAGTGTAACAATGCCACTTTTATGGACTCTAACAGATATTATGGTCTGTTTCATTGAGCGTCTCCCTCAGCTCAGTCAGAGATTTATGCATTCTTGTATTGAGTATTGAAGGAGGTGGTTCTGCTGTGATAAATCTCATCAGTGTTGTCATATTATATTATTAGTTGTACTTGCTAATACATTTTTACAGAAAGTCTACTTATACATACAATTCACTGCAGTTTCTAGCTGAAATGTAAACTAGAGGCAGTAAAACATCAACAACTTTTATTCCTTTTCATACAAATTACGAATAAAGGGGGCAGATTATCAATTAATAAAGACAAACGGTTCTGTTATGGGGCGACAGAGACGTGACGCGAACGGATCCATGT